TATTCAAGAGAGGGCACCATTCAAGAGTAGGCTCCGGCGGATTATGCTCGCAAAATCATGGAATTAGTCTGTAGCCCAATACCAGCGGCTTTGTCGTAGGTGCTGATGCACTTTGCCCTTGAACGACTGGAGGGACGTCAGGCGTGGCGGAGACTGCAGCACAGTTGGGGGCAAGTTGTTCCACTCGTCAATGATGCTGTAGGGGAAGCAGCATCGCATCAGGAGACCGGGAAGCCGGGAGGACGTTCTGTAGCTGAGACTCGTGGCGCACCGAGTGGTCGGGCCGAGTTCGAGGACATGTTGGTGGAGGAAGCTGTGGGGATTCAGCGACGTTAGTTGCGGTGGCCCTGCCAGACACATCAGTTTATACATATAGCTGAGGTCGGCGACCAATCTCCTTGCTGCCAAACTCTGGAGGAGGACATCCGGGCCAAGAATGTGGAGGGCGCGTCTCTGCACTCGATCGAGAAAGCTCAGATGGATTGAAGCTGCTCCCATCCATACCGATGGCGCATACTCTAGGACTGGCCTCACAAAACCTCTGTAGACGGTTCGTTTACCAGCACCATCGAGTACGCGAGCGGCTTTGCGCAGGAAGCCCAGGCCAGAATTCGCCTTGAGTTCTGTGTTCTGGAGTTGGGTCTTGAAGGAGTGGCCCGAGTCAAATGTGATGCCGAGGAGTTTTACCTCCGATAGCTCGGGTACCGATTCCGAATCCCAATGTCTTAAATGCCCATAACAACATCATTCGGCTCACCAAGTTTCAAGCTTTGACCGCCGATCTCAACGTCCTTATCACTTGTAGAATACCTGTCGCTGCAAAAGTTATTGTTTTGATATTGGAGTTCGGATTGAGGTTCTTTCCTTTCTTCCTCTTCCTTCCCCTATTTCTTGTCCCTTTGCGGCTTTGGTTTTTAGCTTTTTATTTTTCACTTTCTTTTTGCTGTCCCACCCATGGAAATATCTTCCCGGTGGGTCTGGCTTATCGCCTTCGAAAGAAGTGAATAAAGGAAGTATTAAAAATTTAGAACTAAATATTGCGACAGAGCTTTCGGCCATATTTTCAATTCATTGCATTCCCAACTCATCACAACCACGCGCTCTTCAGCCGAACCATACACCAAGCATCCCTGACTGGAGTGAATGCCCCAGCTGGCCTCTCGTTTGTCAGTGGTTGCTACTAGACCTGTTAGTATCACACTCACGACTACAAGTTTCCTGGTGTGCATCGACATCGGCATCAGTGGAGCCTCCCGCTGTCGATCCTGTTGACGGGCGGACAGGTCGGTGTGAATCCTGAACGGCAGCCGAGCCTGTCGCGTTGGGGGATCTCGGCGGTGAGTCTCGCCTCGCCTGCATACATGGACATTGCAACATCATAATAATAAACAACATACGTGTACTTTCCATTGGCATCAGTATTCCGAGTAAGATTTTCGTCGCTTGTGTGGTGTGTTTTTCCACCAATGAGCGCGTACTATGATTATTTATCGCTGTTCTCACACTTTACCATTTTAGCAGCTTGCATATGCCATTGATATATGTGGAAAGCGCGCACTTGCGCCATTTCTGGTGTATAAGAATGATCATTCCTCCATTATCATCATTATCATCCTCTACTGATGAGCTCCGACAGGGAGCGAAACAGCTGTATAGGGGCGTGGAGCAATATTATCTCTCAACGGAAGTGTCCTTGCTGGTGTCTGTATGGTTCGGCTGAAGAGCGCGTGGTTGTGATGAGTTGGGAATGCAATTAAAAATTTAATAAATAATAATAATAATAAACAAATAATCTACGTGGAGATAAAAGTTTAATAATAGTTATGAAAAGTATGAATGCCGCAGACATCACCACGCAACATGACAATTTGTTCAAGGTTTGGTTTTGTGTGTTTCCAAAATCGATTAGTTCCGTATTTCCACTGATGATCGGAGCGTGAAAATCGATTTTGGAAACACACAAAACCAAACCTTGAACAAATTGTCATGTTGCGCGGTGATGTCTGCGGCATTCATACTTTTCATAGCTATTAATATAATAAATTCTACTACTACTACATTTCCTTCTATTCGACTGAGCGACAATGGCTTGCCAACTCCCTACCCGTGATAGCTGACGGCCTGGGTGACTGGTCACTCAACGTTAACAGCAGCAAAACAGAGTGGCTTCACATCTCTGCCTCCACCACCGAATGGCGAAGATCGAAGCAACTTGGCTCTCTCTTGGGGGAAGAGGAGGACTTGAGCCGACGAATGGACCAAGCATCAACATCGTATGGCCGCATGTATTCGCTCTGGATACGACGTCAACTTGTATCCGAGGAAACCAGGCTTCGTCTCTACAATGCCATCGTCCTACCAACACTGTTATACAACTGCGAAACCTGGGGACTGACAGAGGCTGCACTGGAGAAGCTGAACGCCTTCCATAGACGTCAACTACGGAACTTGTTTGGAATTAGGTATCCCGCCATCATCTCCAACAAAGACCTATATTCCAGAGCACACACACAGCCACTTTCGCACACCGTTGCTGTCCGCCGTTTCCGGATGTTGGGTCATGTTCTGAGGATGCCCTCAGATGCCCCGCCACAGCAGGCAATGAATGGACAACTACTTCCGTCGAGATGTCACCGGTGTGCGTGGACGCCCGAAATCGAACCTGGCCACGGCAGTCAAGGCAAGCACAGCTGCCAGAGACATGCCGCTGAAGACCATGACTGATCTGAGTGGGCTCAGAATGCGCGCTTTGGACAAGCAATCATGGAGGGAACTCTCAGCCTGAGCTGGTTTTGCTCGCGGCTGCAACGCACGGGGTAGTGAACCCAGGACAGAAGCGGACCAGGCATCATGACTTTGCACATCTATCGTTATGCTGCTTCATTACGCGACCTGTTTTATTATTATTATTATTATTACTACTACTACTACTAATAATAAAGGATATGACATATATAAAAGGAGACATAGTAAGACTATGCCTGTAGCTGCAGAAAAAGTGCTCAACATCCAATTTCTTGGGGGGAGCAATGACACATGTCAACAAACAATGGATCACTCGTAATATTTCGCTACTCCGAGTTTCATGCACTGTGTGCAATCATCAGGCGAACAATATTCAATGCAGACTGGTCAAAGCATAATGGGAATTTAAGGTGGATGCAGGCGGAAGCATATATAAAGGAGACATATTATTATTAATAACAATGTGGTGCTGAGTGGTAATGTTACTACTTCACTTGTCTGTCGTCGCATTGACCCTGCTGGCCTGTTGTCTGTTGAGTGTTGTGCGCTTCCCGCCTCACGCCTAACTTTATCGTTAGGAAGACTTGCACGAAAATTGGCGCTCTTCGACGGTGTTTTCGGCAACTAAGTTTGAAGGCAACACGGCAGTTTATCCTCTCGGTTATCCTGCCTGACTTATTATACTGCTGCTCTTGCTTTGCAATGAAGCTATCCGCCAAGGACCGACAGCGACTCTCGTCCGTTTATCGTCGTTCTGTACGCGCTGCTTGTGGCTCGAAACTACAAGAGGACGTCATGCCGCTGTTAGCTAGATTGTCGATTGATCCGTTTGAACATTACCTTATTCGTAGCATTGCTAAATTTATCCATGTTAATCATGTCGTTTTCCCTCTCCCAAATCTGACGGACCTTTTCCCTCAAGTTTCAACCGGCCCTAGGACAACAAGAAGCTCTTTTAATGCTGCTATTGCAATATCTAAATTCCGGACGACTGACGGTGTCAATTCCTTTTCAAATCGTGCTGCCCTGTTCTTTAATTCTTTGCCTGTGGAGTGGCGCACCCAGCACCGCACTACATTTGCTAAGCACCTTCAGACCATGCTAAAAGACGCAGCGTCTTTTCAGAAGTATTTTGATCTTCTTTTCAGCAAACTCCCTCATTGATCTGCACCGCCTGTATTGTATAACTGTGTTTACTGCGTTCCTAGTTTAAATTCGTTTTTAAAAACATCTCTTTAATTCTTGCACTATCCCATTATGACCATGCTTAAAGACGCAGCGTCTTTTCAGAAGTATTTAGATCTTCTTTTCAGCAAACGGCCTCATTCATCTGCATCGCTTGTATTGTATACCTGTGTTTACTGCTTACTGCTTACTGCTGCTTTATTGTTCCAAGTATCAGTTTAGTTTAGTTTAAATATCTCCTATTATTATTATTATTTTTTTTTCCTCACCCCACACCCCTCTACCCTGTTATCGGCCCTCTTAAGAGTTGTGTTCATCACTGTTGAGGCTTCCGATGGAAAATAAAAGAATACTACTACTACTACTACAGGGCCGCCTGCAGTGGCAGTGCGCTGCGGCGTTGGTCGACCGGTAGATCTACGCGATAGCGCATGCGCAGTCCTGCATATGCATGACGTAGGTACTAGGTCTACGAGTCGTACTGCGCGAGTACGAGTCAGCCGTGTGTACTACTACTGTACTGTGTAGACTAGTTCATGCAGACGCGCGTACCGGGTTTCCACGTGTTTTTTTTTAATGTGTGCATAAACACAAAACAGTGCAGTGTGTACCACCAGGGAGTCGTAAAATTACGACTCCCTGTGTACCACCAACACACAATGCATTTATGGACTTTGTGTGAAGGTCACCTTGCCACGTACCGGCATCCGACGGCCGACACGGACAAGAATTCAGGGATCGATTTGTTGAACATCTATCATGTAACATTGTTTGTTTTTGGCTTTAGAACAGTTGGAACTTGTTAGCCACACAGCACTGCTTACTCGTCAGAGACGCGTCCTCCTTTTCTTTCGATCTCCCTCTGAGCAGGCATACGAGACCTGAAAAGATGCCTGAAAGTAGGACCAGTCGATTGAAGGTTCATGTTTTGTTTCAACGCAGTTGAGGGAACTGGGTTTTGCACTTTGAAGAGTCTGAGAATTGTTCAGCTAGCTGCCCTCGACTTGTTAGCTGTACCTACCCTTCTATGACATGACGGAGTCTGGTTATCTCGGCCATCATAGTTAATACAGGTCACAGGTCTTCTGTGGTATTGAGTGGGTTCTCAAGCTCAGGAATCCTGCGTGGAATGATCGATGTTGCAAGATTTGCCTTCATTTGATTTGCTGAAGATTACTACGATACTTACACGATCGTACGACTCAGATAACGCTGGCCCTCTGGCTGGCAAGCTGAATCCAGGGCCACAGTGCTGGTGTAACTGCTGTGCATACTCTGGATGCGTGCCGATCGTCCAGGCATGCCGAAGATACAAAGGAACCGTCGAATGCCCTCGCTGAAGAAGTACTCATGCGTCGAAACAAAGCGTATGCGTCGTATTGGTGTGAGGTATTTCAACGAGAAACCAGGATCTGGCCTGCAGTACTTGCATTCGAATGGTATTCTAAAACAGGATGCATCCAGCGTAGCTAATTGGCTACTGCATGAGTCAGGAGTGAGTCGCTGGGCTATCGGAGAATACTTGGGCTGTCCCAATAGTTTTGCTCTGGACGTCCTTGAGCACTATGTTAGTGTTCAAAAGCTCTACAAGTACTCGTTTGTGCTGGCCATGCGTAATTTCATGTCGAATTTTCGCATACCGGGCGAGGCGCAGAAGATCGAGCGCATCCTGGAAGTGTTTGCACGCCACTTCACGACGCGCTATCCATCGGATGACGATGGAGAGGGCGCTGATGTACACGGCGTACCGCGAACGACGGTGACCCCGTCGAACATCGACACTGCTCACATCCTTTCCTATTCGATTATCATGCTGAACACGGATCTGCACAACGCCAACGTCAAGCATCACATGAGCAGAGAGGAGTTTGTGCGCAACAACCGGGGCATTGACTGTGGCAATGACTTGCCGCACGAACTCCTGGAGTCGATCTACGCTGAAGTGGCATCAGACCAGTTCAAGGCCAAGGAGGATCATGTCGATGCGCTGGTCGAGCTCGAGAAGAAGTTCCGTCACTTGGACACGAGCCATCGGCTAGTCGCACAGCATCGTCAGCTAGTAAATAAGTTCACTTGTTGTAGTGTGTCTGACTGGAAGAAGAGTCAACCATCAACAGCTCATCCTAGAATCATCTTCCTGTTCAACGACCTGATGTTAGTGGCGAAGAAAACCTGGAATTCGGAATTTGTCGTCAAGAGCTTCATCCTACTGAAGGACGCCAACGTGGAGACGTTCAAGAGCAACCTGTACGCGCGTGGGTTCGAGGTACAGTCGCGGTTCCACCAGGAGACGCTGCTGAGAGTGACGTGTGATTGCCAGTCGACACTGAAGGCGTTTGTACGCCAGGCCACGGAGATGGTATCGGAGGCGATCTTCATGGAACGTCTGCCGGCGAATCTGAAGGCGGCCGAGTCGAAGGCCAACTTAGCGGGCAGCTCTTCTACGTCTGTGTGTGACCTGTCGAGTATGCAGAGCTCAACAACCCCAGCGGTCCTTCACTCCACCAGCGAAGAACGCCGGCTACCGTCAAGGCAACTCTCTCTCCGTGTAATCAACAGTCGCTCTGCTGCTGATGTTGCTGCTGCTTCAGAACTTGATGGTGATCGTGAATCAATGGCTAGGGATCGTCGGTGTTCGCTTGATGATTCAAGATTGGCACTGATTCGAGAAAGCCAAGCCGGTAACGCCACGCTATTCAAACGTCCAACGGAAGGCAAGATAGAAGAAGCTGTGGAAAAAATGACAATGGGAACAACAGCGGGATCAGCGGAAATGCAGCCGGAAGCGACAGACAGCTGCGCTGCTGGTACCCTGGCTGAACGCACTATTGCGGAGGAGGACGATGGTACTGAGACCGTCCGCCCGATGCCTATCAGACGCCAAATACGCCGCTGTGCCCGGCGGCCGGCCTTCCGCGGTAAACCATCCTTGGCAGACGGCGAGGAGGAAGAGGACGAGGAGGAGGAGGGGTTTGTGCCGGCCGAAGGTTTTCGGGTCCGGGCGCTGTCCTTAGAGTCTATCTCCATGGGCGTTGCTATGTAATGGCGACCATGGTAACTATAGCAACATCTATGGGCATGCTCTGATCGTGCTGAAAGTACCACTGGTGTTGAGATTTGTAGTATGACTGCACATACATGCACACGGACCTGTGTGTGCTTTAGTATAGGACCGACCATGGTATAAGGAACTCTTCCAGGACAAGTACCGGTGGAGTTTGCAGACGTGTTCCTCTCTTGGGACTCTGTGAGTTACTTGGCTAGGATTGAGTGCAAGTCTCTCCGTAGCACTGTGCATGTGTCACTTGCCTGTGTGCTTCGCGAATAGCATTTCAAGTGCTAACAAGTGTAATTATGCGTGTGTGTGTGTGTGTGTGTGTGTGTACATGTGTGTGTACATGTGTGTGTGTATATGTGTGGGTATGTGTGTGTGTGTGTGTGTACGTGTGTGTGTGCATGTGTGTGTGCGCGCGGATAACGCGACTATTGACGTTTATTCCTATCTAGATCCTGTCGTAGTTTTATGTTTTGATTTGGTTTTCTGGCGTGTATTCCCTAACCCTATGCTGGTCCAGCAGGCAGCTGACTTCATGACTTCTCGATAACCCTATTGCGAATATCCCATCACATCGTTCTCATGCCTACACTTCTCATCATTGCTGTCAAGTCTCACATTGCTTACTACTCATACTCATAGTGCAGCACGATGACATCTCCTCACATCACGCCAGCATCTGCACTACTGCTGCTGCTGCTGGTGATGGTGAGTGGTGGTGGTGCTGCTGCCGGTCAGGTGTCCTAGGATGCCCTCAACCCCTCCCACCCAGTGCCCCCTCACCCCGGCCCTGCCCCTCTTACCTCAATTCTGCCCTGCCCCATCTCTTGCGTGCCCCCTCTTACCTCAACTCTGCCCTGCCCCATTCTCACACTGGGTGCATCTTTCATTTTCTTCTTCTTTTTGCTTTCTTTCTTCGGGTCGAGGACCCCCATAATTGGTCAGTGCTGGCGCTGGTCTGTATGGTATTGATGTGTTTCTGTTGCTCTTCGCGGGTGGTTTGTTGCCTCTGCCGGCATACCATTCTACATGATTGTGTACCGTCTCATGCATTGCTAGCTGTTGTTGCCGCCAGCCTCGCACTATATTGTATCATGCATTGGTAGCCGTTATTGCCCAGCCTCGTTGTACTGTAGCATTGGTGAATCTCCACCACACACGAGCGGAGTGCTTGCCTTGCATGTGTGGTGTGGTATATGCCTATAATCGTGCAGACGTTGTCTCTTCCCTTTTGGACGACAAAGCTCCGTCATGCTCAGTAACCAAGCAAGGTACAGTCAGACCTCTTTTATCCGGTTCCCTCGCTATCCGGAAGAAAATAGCTGGTTGCATATTTACAGCATACGTGATGCATCCAACATTAATTAGCGGTGTTCGGTTATCCGGTTCCCTCGTCTATTTTTGTGGAAAACGGATGCGTGAGGTCTGACTGTATAGTAAAGCTGACAGATCCGGGCAGGTCGGGACCGAGCACTGCCCGTACTCCCCAGATCCGGGCAGGTTGGGACCGAGCACTGCCCGTACTCCCCAGATCCGGGCAGGTTGGGACCGAGCACTGCCCGTACTCCCCAGATCCGGGCAGGTTGGGACCGAGCACTGCTCGTACTCCCCAGATCCGGGCAGGTTGGGACCGAGCACTGCCCGTACTCCCCAGATCCGGACAGGTCGGGACCGAGCACTGCCCGTACTCCCCAGATCCGGGCAGGTTGGGACCGAGCACTGCCCGTACTCCCCAGATCCGGGCAGGCTGGGACCGAGCACTGCCCGTACTCCCCAGATCCGGGCAGGTTGGGACCGAGCACTGCTCGTACTCCCCAGATCCGGGCAGGTTGGGACCGAGCACTGCCCGTACTCCCCAGATCCGGGCAGGTCGGGACCGAGCACTGCGCGTACTCCCCAGATCCGGGCAGGTTGGGACCGAGCACTGCGCGTACTCCCCAGATCCGGGCAGGTTGGGACCGAGCACTGCCCGTACTCCCCGGTCCGGGCAGGTTGGGACCGAGCACTGCCCGTACTCCCCAGATCCGGGCAGGTTGGGACCGAGCACTGCCCGTACTCCCCAGATCAGGGCAGGTTGGGACCGAGCAGTGCCCGTACTCCCCAGATCCGGGCAGGTTGGGACCGAGCACTGCGCGTACTCCCCAGATCCGGGCAGGTTGGGACCGAGCACTGCCCGTACTCCCCGGTCCGGGCAGGTTGGGACCGAGCACTGCCCGTACTCCCCAGATCCGGGCAGGTCGGGACCGAGCACTGCGCGTACTCCCCAGATCCGGGCAGGTTGGGACCGAGCACTGCCCGTACTCCCCAGATCCGGGCAGGTTGGGACCGAGCACTGCCCGTATTCCCCAGATCCGGGCAGGTTGGGACTGAGCAGTGCCCATAACTAGGAACTGCCCGTAACTCCGAACGTTATATACATGTACATATACCTACTGCATGCAAGTAAAGAGTTTATGCCAATGAATATGAATGTGTTGGGGATCATTTTTCGTTGAAAGACAATTATTTCGGTGATTCTAGATGGGTCAGAAAGGTGTCTGGTAGACGGGTGTGCCTGGAAGCATCGAAGATCACGAACAAATAGTCTGGCCCGAAGCCATACAACACACAGTTCGTCCCTGGCGGTTTGCAGATGAGTCAGCAGCAGGAGGCCACGATGATCAATCCTAAATTGTAGGGCTGAAACGATCGTGGATTTTCACGTATCGATTACTCTTTAGCTTAACGATCGAGTAATCGATTATCATCGTTAGCAAATAGAGTTGATAAATATGGTGGTAAAGACACACCTGGCAATATGGCGGTAAACACACGCCTGCCCACACACGCTCTCTAGGCTGCAAAGTTCTGGCACAGAGCTCTCCTTCTCACTGTACCAGCCTGCTATGCTGGATACCGCCAGCCATGCATCGACCAGGCGCCAGGCGCGAACTGATGGTGGTGGTGGTGAGAAGGAGAGCTCTGTGCCAGAACTTTGCAGCCTAGAGAGCGTGTGTGGGCAAGCGTGTGTTTACCGCCATATTGCCAGGTGTGTCTTTACCACCATATTTATCAACCATAAGTACAGCTGCAGTGGTGTCTTCAATTTCATTCTCCCGAGTCAAGCACCGTATGAAGACATCCAAGAAGAAGATTGCCTGATGAGTCCAGCGGGGACGAAATGTACGTCGCAATCGAGCTATGTCGTTGCTGTGTCATCATCTATGTGCCATGCGCTACTTGATGTACCAGCCTGCTATGCTGGATACCGCCAGCCATGCATCGACCAGGCGCCAGGCGCGAACTGATGGTGGTGGTGGTGAGAAGGAGAGCTCTGTGCCAGAACTTTGCAGCCTAGAGAGCGTGTGTGGGCAAGCGTGTGTTTACCGCCATATTGCCAGGTGTGTCTTTACCACCATATTTATCAACCATAAGTACAGCTGCAGTGGTGTCTTCAATTTCATTCTCCCGAGTCAAGCTCCGTATTTAGACATCCAAGAAGAAGATTGCCTGATGAGTCCAGCGGGGACGAAACGTACGTCGCAATCGAGCTATGTCGTTGCTGTGTCATCATCTAATGATCTATGTGCCATGCGCTACTTGATGTACCAGCCTGCTATGCTGGATACCGCCAGCCATGTATCGACCAGGCGCCAGGCGCGAACTGATGGTGGTGGTGGTGAGAAGGAGAGCTCTGTGCCAGAACTTTGCAGCCTAGAGAGCGTGTGTGGGCAGGCGTGTGTTTACCGCCATATTGCCAGGTGTGTCTTTACCACCATATTTATCAACCATAAGTACAGCTGCAGTGGTGTCTTCAATTTCATTCTCCCGAGCAAATAGAGTCATAATTCTGTGCAAACATTACTCTGTTTCCACAAACTATGCCTTCAAAATACCAATAAATCTGCATTACGCCATTAGTGAAAGGGTAGCTCCGAAACATGGCAGTTTCGAAGTCAATTTAACCTCATAACATAAACCATACCCCTGGCAACTGCATACTCCCAGCGGAAACTGATTCAAACTTCACAAAACGAGGGTTTACCGTACTTTCTGGACACAAATTAAAAAAACGCATAATAATCGTAATCGGTAATCTAAACGATTGCTCGATCGTTAGAGTTATCAAACGAGTACTCGATTATTCGGTATAATCGTTTCAGCCCTACTAAATTGTCATGATAACAATGCCGTTCTCGAATGTTCATGCACCTACATTTTGTCCTCACCAACAACCACACGTCACTAACCCTGCTCACACCACTTTAAACCCAGAAGCACCTGTTTTCGTACCTCAGTCCCACTCCCACCTCACTGAAGGCTCCTTCGCCATCCTCACCATAAACTGCAGATCTGTCCTCAACAAACTCTCCGCTGAGAACTGCAAATAGTACTGGATAACCTAGCACTAACAATAGTTTGCCTCACAGAAACATGGCTCTGTCCATCTAACCTGATGCACACACCCAACTACACTTGATATCGTCGAGATAGGCCCACTGTCGACCGTGTGGGCTATCAACCACGATATCAGACAAGCTCGAAGTTTGCCAACGAAAATTATTAAAAATGCTATTTTGCTTGCCCCGTGATTTCTCCTCTGCACAACTCTATGTTCTCGCTCGTGTTTGCCCCCTTTCTATTCGACGCAGTCTCCACAGCAACATTTAATTCAAAAGATGAAACTCAAGAAAGTACCAAGGCATCTCTGACTGGTTTGTGCGGAGCCGTTCAACAAGGGCACAAGTCTCGCTACCTGCAGCTCGCACTGTCCAGTTTACAAAATCCCCTTTGTTTCATTCCTATTCTGACTGGCTCAAGCTATCAAGCCTCGCCCACCACTGCCACAGCATGTCTCAGTTTCGCCAAGTTGTCTGTACTGAGTTGCGTTTTCCTGCAGCACTCACGCGTGTTTAGCTAAACAGTAGGTGTTGGCGGATAATGCTCGGTAATATGGGATATAATGCTCTCAGTAATGCTCCAAATAATGCTGATAATGCTCCGCCGGATGGAATATAAACTGCTGAACCTTGCGGTATCGGGCTAAGAAAAACGCTATAATATTGCACCCATGCTATGCAACATAGAACGCACAATCTGGATTCGCCGCAGAGACTCGGCTGAACTAACGGCCTCAGTAAGACCGGTGCCGGCTAGAGCCTTCCCAAGTCGTTTCTGATACGCCAAGAAGGACTCCTTGACCAGCTTCTGCCTCTGAGTTTCCCTCTCCAAACGGGACTTTCCTTGTTTGTGTCTCACGGTAGCAATATGGGACATGATTATACTCTTCTTCCCTGACAATGTTTTACGGCATGCCAGGCACACTACTAACTTGCCACAGTCGCTTTTGAGCGGCTCCGCACCCGTGTTTCGGCACTGATGGCCACTTCAGTGCTCTGTCCATGAGCTACTCGCGTCCTTTTGGAAACATTTTCAGACTTGGTAATAGCTGTTTTCTGAAAAAACCGCTTCCTCGCTATCGCGGCAGGATCTGCAGTTTCCAACTCGACGACGTCACTATCATCAGAGGACTCCGCCAAAAGCTCATCTGGAGAAAGCCCAGCTTCCTCCCAATCCCAAGAACGGCATCGCGGCGAGTCAGCCATCAGCGTTAGCTGGTCTTACACAATGGTCAATGTCCGGTGAAAGTCCAGCGTTACTCTTCGACAAAGACATGTCGACATGCCTCTTGCTTCGATGAAAAATGTTTTTGTGGATGGTAACCGGGTATAAGCTAAGGTCTGGAATGTGTGCGTGTGCGCACCTCCACCGTTCCATGCTGGCTCACATTTGTTTCGTTGGTTCGGTGTTGTTACCTGGATCTTCAAAAAGTATTACATTGTACATGTAGACTATTAAAGTAACTACTAATACTTAGTTAGTTGCTGCCCGAAGATAGACTTCCGGGACCGGAAGTTTCTGCGAGAGTTTCCACACTGTGCTCAGTCATGCCTCATGGTGCTGGACCACAGCTAGCTAGCACTATACTGGATGCAGTATACTGGGCCTGGCACTGCGTGCCATGATCTGTTTGGTACCATGCATGATGTGTGCGGTGGTCTATCGCTTGTAGTAATACATCGCGTATAGTAATAAATGTTGCCAATCAAAGACCAACGCTATCCGATACACGTATACGAATCTGTACATGAGGATGTGTGTAGATCTACTATGC